GTTCAACCACTTTGGAAAGCAGTATGGAGGTTCCTCAAAAGACTCCACATAGAACTTCCCTATGACCTAGCAATCCCACTTTTGGAAATTTACCCAAATGATCATAAACAAGGACATACTAAAGCTACCAGCACAGCTATGTTTATTGCAGCATTATTTATCATAGCTAAGATATGGAACCAACCCAGATGCCCCTCAGTAGATGAATGGATCAAGAAAATGTGATGTTTATATATATATATATATATTATATATATATATATATATATAATATATATATATATATCACATACACACACAATGGAATTCTATGCTTCCATCAGAAAGAATGGCATCGTCCCATTTGTTAGGAAATGGAAAAACTTGGAAGAAATTATATTAAAGTGAAGCAAACCAGGCCCAAAGAAACAAAGGTCCCATGGTTATCCTTATTTGCAATAACTAGTATATGTCTAGGACAAGCAGAAAAGGTCAAGAGCTAAGTACATATGACCATATGAGATGATGCTAAGCGAAATGAAAATGAGGACACAAGAGGTTTTTGCTTTCTTGCTGTTGTTTTTAATGTACTTATAATGTACTGTGTGATTTTTTTGTTTCTTTTGTATGTTCTTTCCCCATGATATAACCTGTTTTCACTGTATTTGATTCCAGGGCCCTGCATCTTGTATAAAAATTATTCTAATTTGGGGAGGGGAGGGAAATAACAAAATGCTGAAATAAGGATACAGGCTGACACATTGTAAGAATGAGATGTATAAGACACTATGTTGAAAACAAACTTTACAACTTCAATGGTGGGGGGAGGGAGAAGTGGGGAGGGAAGGGACAATAGGGGAAAACAAAGGGGAGGGAGTAACAATGCTGGATAGGAAATGTACTCATTGCCTTACTGTAACCCCTTTGTATAGTATCTTAAAATAAATATATATTATAAAAAAAGAACCAGAAAGTGAATTAGATTACTACTATACCCTGAAGATTCATGTGGGTTGCAACTTATGAAGGCACTACCACTGCACATATAATCTGTGTTTTGATAAAAATCAATGTTATATAATTCATAAATAAGATAGTTAGTTCATCCACATGAAGACCAAGAGCAAGCTCTCTCTCCTGCAACTGCTACAAACTGAGACTCCATTCTGGTCTTAGCAGGGTACTTTGGGTTTTTTGTTTTTTCAATTTTCTTTTTTATTGTTATTATAAAGGTGATGTTACAATTACATAATTCAGGTAAAAGTACATTTTTTGTACAATGTCACCTCTTCTCTCACATTTTCCTAATAAAGAAAAAGTGAGGGCAGAGATAGAGAGTGCTAGAGCAAGGGTGATTGATTGACATACATTGTTGAAGTGTAGAAAGAGAACAATGAAATCCTCCCACTGTATAATTAATTTAAGCTATTTTAAGACATACATTTAGATAGAGTAGGAAAGATATGCACAAAAAGTTTAGCAAGGTACTTTGGAACTAAGTCTTTGTCCATATTTCAAGAGCACTAGCCTTGAGTAAAATTCTCAGGTAGCTGGGGGGGGGTCATGCTTGTAATCTTAGTTACTCAGGGAGCTGAGATCTGTGAATCACAATTCAAAGCCAGCCTGGGCAGGAAAGCCCTGAGACTCTTATCTCCAATAAACCACCAGAAAACCAGAAGTGAAGTGGCCCTTTGGCTCAAGTGGTAGAGTGCTTGCCTTGAGCTGAAGAACTGAGGGACAGTGACCAGGCCCAGAGTTCTAGCTCCACGACTGACAAAAAAATTCTTAATGCTTGTCTTGGGGCTTCAATACATGGTATGAATGCACCTGAGTATTTTATTGGTTGGTCATGGAGTTTGAACTCTGGGCCTGGTCACTGTCCCTTAGCTGTTCCCCTCAAAACGAGTGCTCTACCACTGAGCCATAGCACATACTTCTGGCTTTCTCTGTGTATGTGGTACAGAGTCGACCCCAGGACCTCATGCATGTGAGCAAGCACTCTACCACTGAGCCACCTTCCTAGCCCTCGAGAAAAATTTTTTTTTAAAGATTCTTTTTTTGCAATCTTCCCAGTCTATCACATCTTTCTAGATGAGGCCTTTTTGCCTTGTTTAGCCTGCTCCTTTCAGAGCTCTTCTTTTTTAAATTCACACGAAATGAAGCCTTCTTCCAATCTGAACTAATCATTCACTCCTAGTAAATTTATAACTTACTTTGTGTCCTCACTTAAAATCTTAGCAGAATACATAGTTTATTTTCTACACCCTAACTCATGCAAGTTATACCATAAGCCACTTTGTTGGTGCTGAGGGTATCACCACAATACCAAGGACCCGAACTGAAGGTTACTCTTTGCCATTTCCCTAATATGTGCCTAAATCAATCTATAAATCAATAAAGTCATGAGGAACCATAATTCACATCTATGTTATGTGTTAATCCACAAAATAGGTAATCAAGATTACAAGTACGTGAAGCCTAAAAATCCAAAGTCTGATTGGTAACACCTAATGTTGACTAGTAGCCTCTTTGATAACTCTCACAGGGGATTCACACCTTTCGGAGTGTAACCTTCTACTCAATCTGTTCTCCCCATAACTGTTGAAAAGAACTGTTTACTTACTTAAAAATAAAAATAAACAAAATGTAATGTCATTTGGTTATATCAGTCAAGATAAAGATTTATATTTTGCTAGAAAACTAGTAAAAATCTTTGATAATATGCACAAGAAAACAGTATGTTAAAAAAAAAAAAACAACTAAATGAGCCGGCACCAGTGGTCATGCCTCTAAATTCTAGCTACTTAGGAGACTAAGCTCTAAGGAAGGCAGTTCAAGCCAGTCCAGGCAGTTAAATCCTAACACACTTATTTCTAATTAACTATTAAACAAAAATCAGAAGTGAAGCTGTGGCATAAGTGGAAGAATACAAGCCTTGAGCAAAAGAGCTCAGGAACAGCAATCAGGCTAGAGTTCAAATCCCACAACCAGCATATAAAAAACAAACAAGGGCTGGGAAGGTGACTCAGTGGTAGAGTGCTTGCCTTGCATGCATTAAGCCCTGGATTCGATTCCTCAGCACCACATAAGCAGAAAAAGCTGGAAGTGATGCTGTGGCTCAAGTGGTTGAGCTGAAGAGCTAAGGAGCAGAGCCCAGGCCCAGAGTTCAGGCCCCATGACTGAAAAAAAAATTTACTGAAGTGGGCTGGGTATGTGGCTTAGTGGTAGAATACTTACCTATCATACATGAAGCCCTGGGTTCCATTCCTCAGTACCATATACACAGAAAAAGTGATAGAATGCTAGTCTTGAGTATAAAGAAGTTCAATGGCAGTGCCCAGGCTCAGAGTTCAAGCCTCAGGACTGGCAAAAAAAAAAAAAAAAACTAACTGAAGCTAATGGTGAATTTTTAGAAAGAAACTGTTTTGTTTTCTTTTGTTTTTGTCAGTTGAGGGGTTTAAACTCTGGGCCTGGATGCTGTCCCTCAGCTCTTCAACTCAAGGCTAGCTCTCTACCACTTGAGCAACAGCACTACTTCCAGTTTTCTGATAGTTTATTAGACATAAGAGTCTCATGGACTTTCGTGCTGGGGATGGCTTTGAACCACAATCCTCAGATCTCAGCCTCCTGAGTAGCTAGGATTACAGGTGTGGGCCACAGATACCCAGCCAAAAAACAGTGTTTTGTTATCCAAAATTCTTGAAAATACAATGTATTTTCACAGGGAAAATTTAAGTTAAAAATTTTTTCTTGGGGCTGGGAAGGTGGCTCAGTGGTAGAGCGCTTGCCTTGCATGCTCGAGGCCCTGGGTTCGATTCCTCAGCACCACATAAGCAAAAAGAAAAAAGCCGGAAGTGGTGCTGTGGCTCAAGTGATAGAGCGCTAGCCTTGAGCTGAAGAGCTGAGGGACAGTGCCCAGGCCCAGAGTTCAGGCCCCACGACCGGACCCAAAAAAAAAAAAAAAAAAAAAAAATTTTTTCTTAAATTTGGTAGGTACCTTATGTGGGTGACAACCAGCAAACTCAATTGTGGGATATTAAATTAAATCATGTGTCCATGTAGACATAGGTAAAAAGTCAACTTTAACTTAGTATTGATTCAATTGGACCCATGTTAAAGTATATCTGCATCTATCTATAAGTCGGATCTTAGAGTATTGATTTTCAACCACTTCTTTTGATTTCCTTTCATTCTTAAGATTTTAAGTTAAGTTACAGTTGATACTAGCCAATGGGTTTCTCAATCTGAGAAAAGAATCATTTCTAGGGCTGGGAAGGTGGCTCAGTGGTAGAGTGCTTGCCTTGCATGCCTGAGGCCCTGGGTTCCATTCCTCAGCACCACATAAGCAAAAAGAAAAAAGCCGAAAGTGGCGCTGTGGCTCAAGTGGTAGAGCGCTAGCCTTGAGCTGAAGAGCTGAGGGACAGCGCCCAGGCCCAGTGTTCAGGCCCCATGACTGGACACACACACACACAAAAAAAGAATCATTTCTATCAAAACAGATATTTTCCATTCTGTCAATTTTGTAAGAAATGTTTTTCTGAAAAGTTTCTGATATGGCCAGGTGGCTTGACCCTTGTTGACTGTATTCCAGTTATATTCTTCTCCTTCTGGACATTTTCATAAGAGATCCTGTTAGAAGCTCCTTGAATTTTACTTATATATTCTCTCTCTTTTTTTTTGGGGGGGGGTCCAGTTGTGGGGCCTGAACTCTGGGCCTGGGCGCTGTCCCTCAGCTCTTCAGCTCAAGGCTAGTGCTCTATCACTTGAGCCACAGCATGCATCACTTCCGGCTTTTTTTTTCTTTTTGCTTATGTGGTGCTGAGGAATCGAACCCAGGGCCCCATGCATACAAGGCAAGTGCTCTACCACTGAGTCACCTTCCCAGCCCCGATTTACTTATATATTCTTAATTAAACCACATACTCTTATGCATTGTGAACCTGAGCTCAGCCAGACTCAAGGTAGAGAGGCAGGGCCTGATGGATTAGGGATAAAAAGGGAGCAGCCTGCCTGCTATCGGCATGCATGCTAGATTTAGGACTGATGGCCTACTCAATGCACAAGTCAACTTTGCCTTTGTAAGTTCTTTCCACTTGGGGCTTTTATTCCTACAAGCAACCCCAACATCCCAAGTCAGGAAAACTGTGTGTTTAAGGGCACCAGCACCTACTAATACCCTAGGGCACACATATTAGAAGAAAGACCAGAAAACAGTTGAGGTGACAAGGGGACCATGTCATACAAAATGACTTGTCAAGAGTCATTCAAATGGTAGGAAAGCAGGGCTCTGGCTCCTTTTAACTGAAACTGTGCCTATAGCCAGTTCTAACCGAGGGTGGTGAGATTGGACAAGATGGGTGGTTAAATGTGACCAAATGTGTGCATGGTGATGAGGGAGGGGGCACTTTAGCAGCCATTGAGTCCTCTGGGGAGGCCTTGTATGAGGAAGGGGCTCAGGAAGAACGGAACTGGGGAGGGAAGCCTACATCTTTAAGATGGGGCCAACTGAACATGGAATCCTGGTAGCCAGGCAACAACATTCCAGATCAACAGCAGCCAGCTCACTTGGCTAGCAATCTTGAAGAAGGAGGATGTCCTCCTGCTGTCTGCCAAGATCCCGGGACTCAGGTCTCAGGAGATCCCGCAGTGGTCGCTGGGTCAGGGCTCACCCCCGACTTTGGCACCTCAGGGAATTCTTCCAAAGGCACACAAATGGCACAAATACTGCACCACAGCAAATGAACTCTGCCCAGGTAATTTATCTCACTGTCATCCCAGCCAACCCTAGAGCCCTCCTCAATTCCCAGCTGTCCTGTTCACAGTAATTCTGTGCACTTTTCATTTCGCTTGATCACACTAAGTCCATTTTTTAAGGGTCTTACCACCTCACCTCTCAATTACCTCCCCTTGATCCCACCTCAGGAGGAAAAGGAGCCAGACCCAGCCCAGGACTTGCCCCATACAGTGAGCACACTGCAGCCAGGCATGCTGGAGAAGATGGTAAACCTCCTGGTTCCTCAACACCAGAAGGAGGATCCCTTCTTCGTGCCAGCCTTCCTGTTCACTTATAGGAGGTTCACCACCACAGGCCAAGTGTTGGACCTTCTGTTTAACAGGTGAATGCCCCATCCAAACCAAAGTGATGTCGCCACCCTCCTGGCTAGAGCTAGAAAACACTACCCAGTTTGCTTCAAGTTGATCTTCTCATCCAAAAGTGGGATGAGACCAGGCAGTGCCTTCCCAAGCTTGTTCCTTTGAAGTGGGCTGCCCAGGACGATGTTCTCCTTGGAGGGAACATATTACTTCCTTAAACACAGGACACTCACAAAGGAATCCTGCATTTGAAGCCCTCTGATACATTTCCCATAAGTTAGCAAGGTTCCCAAAACAATCTACAAGGCCCCTAGAGAACTGGAGCCAGAGAACGGGCTAAAGCATAGGGGTGGACTGAGAGCCCTATGTCCACTGAGCCATCAGGGAAGGATCACTGCACCAACATATGAAGCATGCACTTTGGAGAGGCACATTCCAAACCCCTTCATGGAAAATTGAGGAAACTGTGCAGATGAATCTGCCCATTCTCATCCTGGACTTAGCCAGTCCACATAGACAACCTGGGAGGTCAGAAATAGAGGACACTGAAAACATGACTTCCTCCTCTCTTCCCACAGATATTCACATTTCCATCCTAACTGTGAGAAGGATGAAGAAGTAAAGAAGTGAGTGGAATTTGGGACAAAGAGAAGGGTTCTCTTTGAAGAGTGAGATAAATGTTAGGGCTTGGGCTACAAGGTAACAAACTCCGCTTAGCACATTACTTGTGATGGGGACTGAGGCTTCATCTAAAGGCATGGAAAAGAAATAAGTGAAATACCCTGGTCTACTAGGGACTAGAGGGGATCTCTAGTGAGTACCACAGGGCAACAGTAGAGATCCTTCTCCTCACATGAGTCTCCTCCCTCTTCCCAACATGCAAGTCTGTCTGTGAGGTGGGCAGTCTCTGCATGGGAGCTCTCCCAGCAAGGGACTGTGCAAGAGCTCAGGAAGGAGACAGCAATTCTCACTTTGCTTTCTATCCAACTGCACACAGAACCCTGTGTTCCACGCTTGCCATGTGGCTGGACAAGTACCCTGAGGATTTCTGCCAGTCCAAGGACCTGGCCAACCTGAATAAGCTGATGGCCTACGTGCTGCTCCACATGCCCTCCTCAGACCTGGCAGTCCGTGGACACCTCCTCCTCACCCAACTGAAGGAGCAGGAGAACAAGGAGGCAGACAAAAAGACAAAGGAGTCCTTAGGTAGGTTCCTGAGAATATGTGAGTAGGGATGGAAACCAGTCTCGCGTGGGATAAGAATCCCAGGGTTGTGATTGGCCAGTAAGCATTAGTATAACCCAGTCAGGGAAGGTGTCCTGTGATGGGTATACTATGGTAAACAGCCTCTACTCTCTGTATGGAGACTCTCAGGCACAGCCACTCATTATCCACACCTACAGTCTCCTTGAAGATTCAGTCCCACCTCAACTTCTAGAGCTCCCTCTATTAACAGTGCATCTATATCCAGCCTTAGATTTGGGATTACACATAGCACCTGCTCCTGAGATCAAGGCAGAGGATTCATCCATGATGGCAGCAGATGAGGTAGTGGAATGTGTGGCTTCACCAGCTTCAGAAGAAGATCTGGAGCCTCCGCAGGACTGTGTTCCCCAGATCGTGGTAGTGCAGTACGTGTCCTCTGTGTAAGGAGCACAACACCTTCTGCCTCCTGTGGGCCTCCAGCTGGTTCTGTTCACCCACCTGAAATACAAAATACCCAGTTATAAAGGCAGAGATAATATTCCTGTCATTGCTAGGTGATACTCACCTGGAGCTGCCTAAACTCTGTCAAATTAAGCTATCTATACTTGAGAAAGGTAGGAAAATATCCACAATGCATCTTTGGCCAAATATCTGTTTTCTTTGCTGGACCTCCCACTGTCCACCTGACAGCAGCTTCCCTCCCATTCTTTCCTTCCCCAGGGAAATATGTTTCATTTTTTCTGTTTGTTTTGTCAGTATTGGTACAGTATTTTAATATTTGAATTTAATAAAATGTTCCGGTTTTTTTCTTTCTAAGATGTGCAATTTTGGAGTACTAAATCTATTCTCCATTTCCTACAACAACATATTGTCTAAGTAGACTCTGAATCACTTAATACAGTATATGGGTCCCAAGTAGAACAAAAGAACAAAGTAGAAGATGTGTGAGAGAAACTGCTGAGACCCTGGCAAGGAATCCAACACTAGAGAGGTGCTGCCATGTGCCTGGATTGGGCTCCTGTTGTTTAGGGACATAAGAAGTATCATAGCACAAGCCATAGGACCTAGAATAGTGTCAAGGTTGAGCCTGGGTCTCTTCATCTATCAATTGGGACAACTTCCCACTCTCCAGGAAGCAAACAAATATAATGACATGTGAAGCCCTGCCAGCAGTGATTGTCTGCCTGTACACAAATAAGTCTACATACAACCAAGCTGTTTGCATTGTACAAATACATAATTTAAATTTTCAAGGAAAATAATTATATTTATAGTAAAAATAAAATTTAAAAATTCATACTTTTAAATTTTGCTTCAAATATTTAGTAGCATTTTATCCTAAGATGTTCATAGCCATGAAGACATTCATGAGGATTTCTAATGTGCCCCCCTTCCTGTTGAGGTGGACTATGAATGAGTCCGTGGGATTTCTACATGTGCGTTTGTGAGAATGGCCTGGAAGTTCTTTTGGTGTCCTTCATTGTTCATCACTAGTAAATTAACTCTGACTCCTGTTATCCTGGGCATATGATATGTTATCTACTCTATGAGGAAGAATCAATGTGGACTGGACTTTTCCTGATATGAGATTAATTTGGATGAGGACATTATTGTATCTGTGCAGTCAATGTACTCCTGTGACAAACATTTGAAAACATGTTAATTTTAGGTAGAAGACCGTTAGATTTATGAACCTAAAGAAATAGTCATTCTCCGGGCGCCAGTGTGCCTGTAATCCTAGCTACTCAGAAGGTTAAGATTTGAGGATCGTGGTTCAAAGCCAGACTGGGGGGGGGGGGAGGCTCCAGTCGTGGGGCCTGAACTCTGGGCCTGGGTGCTGTCCCTCAGCTCTTCAGCTCAAGGCTAGCACTCTACCACTTGAGCCACAGCTCCACTTTCAGCTTCTTTTTTTCTGCTTGTGTGGTGTTGAGGAATTGAACCCAGGGCCTCATGCATGCAAGGCAAGCGCTCTCCCACTGAGCCACCTTCCCAGCCCGTTTGTGAGACTCTTATCTCCAATAAACCACTAGAAAACTGGAAGTGGCACTGTAGCTCAAGTGGTAGAGCGCTCGCCTTGAGCTGAAGAGCTGAGGGACAGCACCCAGGCCCAGAGTTCAAGCCCCACAACTGACAAAAAAAAAAAAAGAAATAGTCATTCATGTAATTAGATGAATTTGGGTGAAACTGTCAACTACACATGGCCCATTTATAAGCAAATAAAAACATTCATCTATCTGAGGACCTGGCTCAAGCTTAAACTGAGTGGCAAAACACAAAAAATAAATGGTGCCAGGTGTTGGTGGCTCCTGCTTATAACCATAGATACTTAGGAGGCTGAGATCAGAGGATCTCAAGTCAAAGTCATCCTTGGCAGTAAAGTCTGAGATTCACATTTCCAATCTGAAGAAAGAAAAAGCTGGCAGTGGAGCTGTGGGCTCTAATTGTAGAGCTCTAGACTTGAGCAAAAGAAGTTCAGGAATAGCACCCTAGCCATGACTTGAAACCTTATAACATGCACACACACCAAAAAAGGGACAAAATAATCTATAAAAACAAAAGAGATTTTTTATTTTTGTTTTTTTTTGTCGGTTGAGGGGCTTGAACTCTGCGCCTGAGTGCTGTCCCTCAGCTCTTCAGCTCAAGGCTAGAGCTCTACTACTTGAGCTACAGTGCCACTTCCAGTTTTCTGGTGGTTTATTGGAGATAATAATTTCACGGACTTGGGCTGGGAAGGTGGCTCAGTGGTAGAGCACTTGCTTTGCATGCACTGGGCCCTGGGTTCGATTCCTCAGCACCACATCAGCAAAAAGGAAAAAGCCGGAAGTGGCACTGTGGCTCAAGTGGTAGCGTGCTAGCCTTGAGCTGAAGAGCTGAGGGACAGCGCCCAGGCCCAGAGTTCAGGCCCCACGACCGGACCCCTCCACCAAAAAAAAAAAAAAAAAAAGAAAAAAAAAGAATTTCAAGGACTTTCCTGCCCAGGCTGGCTTTGAACCACAATCCTCAGATCTCAGCCTCCTGAGTAGCTAGGATTACAGGTGTGAGCCACCAGCGCCCGGCTTAAAGTGAGATTTTTATTAGCAATACACTTAATGTTAAATAACAAATAGTTCTATCTGGAACATTCAATGCTGTTAGAGAAGGTTCAGATGGAAAGTGGTCAGTGAAGGTTTAGTAGAGTCATTGAATATATATTTCACAATACAGATATTAGTTATATGTAGCAATGCAATATCATATGAAGAAAATTTCCAAATACACAGCTCATGTGTTTTTTTGTTTTTTTTTGTTTTCCTGTGGTTGTGCTAGGGCTTAAACGCAGGGCTTCGGATCTTGCCTTTTGATTAAGGCTGTTGTTCTACCACATGAGCCAGATCTCAAGTTCTCGCTTTTGGTGGGAAATAAGTGACTCCCTAGGATTGTTCTGCCTTAGCTGTCTTCAAATCTTTACACTCAGCTTCCTGTATTTCTAGGATTATGCGTGTGAGCCATCTGTGTCTAGGTTTGTTTGTTTTTTTTTAACAAGGTTTCACTATGTAGCTGAGACTGGCCTGGTTCTCCCTATACAACTAAAACTGTTGAGAATCACAGTCTCCCTGCACGTATGAGAATTGTGTATGTGTCCTGGGGCTTAAACTCAGGACCTGTATGATATCCTCTTGCACTTCTTTTTGCTCAAGGCTAGTTCTCTGACCACTTTAGCCACTCAGCAATTCTGGTGTTTTCTGAGTATTCTGGTGGAGATAGTATCATGTCCTTTCATGCCTCAGATCTCATACTCCAAAGTAGTTAGGATTAAAGGATGAGCCCCCAGTGCCTGGCAAGAATTTTTTTTTGGTGGATCATGGGTCTTGAATTTAGAACCTGGGAGCTGTCCCCTATCTTTTTTGTTCAATGATGATATTCTACCACTTTGAGGCACAGTGCTACTTCATGTTGGAGATAAGAGTCTCAAAGACTTTCCTGTCCAGGCTGACTTTTAAGCATGATCCTCAGATCTCATCCTCCTCAGTAATTACTATTACAGGTATGAGCCATCAGCACCTTGCAGTAATTGTATTTATTAGATGAAAAATGCTCTCTGTTCTAAGTCACTGAAACTTTACAGAAGAGAGTATTAGTGGTTATTTGGTGGTAAAAGCCTCATTGATGTTTTTGCCAGGATGGATCTGAACTGGATCTCAGCATTGTAGTACCTAGGATTATAGTTGTGAACTACTTACTGCCATTGGCTTCTGGGTCTATATTTGAGAAGTTCATTCTGGAGAGTAAGAGAATATAAGAAAACAAAATAGACTAAATGCACACTTGCAAATTAAGAGAAAGATAGCCAGGTGCTAGTGATTCATGCCTGTGATCTTCACTATTCAGAAAGTATAGACAGGAGGACGGTGGTTCAAAGCTAGCCCAAGGGGCTGGGAAGGTGGCTCAGTGGTAGAGCGCTCGCCTTGCATGCTTGAGGCCCTGGGTTCGATTCCTCAGCACTACATAAGCAGAAAAAAAAGAAGCCAGAAGTGGCGCTGTGGCTCAAGTGATAGAGTGCTAGCCTTGGGCTGAAGAGCTGAGGGACAGTGCCCAGGCCCAGAGTTCAGGCCCCACGACCGGACCCCCCCCCCAAGCTAGCCCAAGAAGGAAAGTCCTTGAGACTCTTATCTCTAATCAAGGTGGTAGAGGAACACGTATGGGCCAAGAAAGGTCAAGGACAGCACCAAGACCTTGAGTTCAAATCCCAGGACCAGCACAACATAAACCTTATAAAAAGGATAATGTATTCAGTATACTCTTCCTGACAACAAACCCACGGTCACTCATATAATCCCTGTACCTCAGTGACACTCTTCCTCCCAAATATCCACATTGCCCCTCCAGATCTAGCTAGACAACTAATGAACTTACCTCAGCTCCAACCCTGCCAACCTTCCCCACACTGTGGCAGAAATGCATCAAACCAAACATTGTCCTGCAACCCCCATCATGGTATCTCCCTATCCTCCCAGCCCCACACTGGTCACAAGAGAATCATCTGTGCCATCCTGACAGGAAACATGGCAGAGAAAGGTGCCAAAAGGCCAAGGCCACACAGGGGAGGGAAATTGACATGATGCCCACAAGTGCCCACATCATATATGCAAATGCATGTTTTCCTGAGAGGCCTCCCTTCCCCATGGCTGCCCTTCCTCATCGCTTCCCCACGATAGGACCTCAACACGGCCTTTGATCCCCTCCAGACCCCAACTCTCCTCAGCACTGTAAAGGCAGTCCCCAAGTTTTTTAAATTTCCAATTAAGCAAGGGCACCAATGGCCCAGGCCTCCTCTCAAAATCTAATGCCCTAGGGCTAAGAAACACTAAAACTCGGGGCTGGGAAGGTGGCTCAGTGGTAGAGCGCTTGCCTTGCATGCCTGAGGCCCTGGGTTCGATTCCTCAGCACCACATAAGCAAAAAGAAAAAAGCCAGAAGTGGCGCTGTGGCTCAAGTGGTAGAGCGCTAGCCTTGAGCTGAAGAGCTGAGGGACAGTGCCCAGGCCCAGAGTTCAGGCCCCACGACTGGACGCCCCCCCAAAAAAAGAAACAGTAAAACTCAGAACCCAGATTCCTGAATAACAAGGATTACAGGCTTGAGCCTCCTGTAGCCATCTGACCCCTTTTTTATACACAGTGTGGTGAATTTTGAATTTGTAGATAGTCACAATTATATAACATATATGTATATACGTACACATATATTCTTCTCATATAATCAATATTACATCACTGCTTTCTCCAATAATGTGTTTTATAGTAATGTTTGTATAACAATGCATTTGAGACTAAAAAAATGTTATGATGCTATCATAGTTTTAAGAAATCATATTTAATTGCATTTAAAAATAATCATCCTTGCCTTGGGGATCCTCACTCTTACCTTTCCCAGCTACACACTGACACAGGACTTCTGTCCACAGGCTTCCTGGTCTGCTCTTCTGGAATGGTGCAACTCTTCCTGCCATGCTCCCTGCAGAGTTTCTATAGCAGCACACCCTGGCATGTGGGGACAAATCAAGTGGCAGCATGAGAACAGAGCCTAGGCACGTGGGAGCCCATGTCTGTCCTCTGCATGAGCAACCTGGTCCTCCCCAACCTCTTGGTCATGTCCTTCACTCTCAGAGCTTGTGCTATGTGGGCAGCAAAACCTGCATTGGACACACTCCTGAGCAAGGATGGTCCTGGGTATCTGCATGCATGTCTGGGTGCATGATATATAAGAGTGTATGTATGAGAGAGACAGAGAGAGGGTGGGGGTGTGGAAGGCTCAGGGCTGGCTGGCTGGAGCCAGTGTCTCCCTAGTTCCCTAGGCCTCCAGTGTAACCACCACCCTCGCCTCACACATATGCACACCAAGGACCATTATACCATACCATCCTTGGCCTCTTCAGTTTCCTGAACAGGAACCAACTCGGGGGAGCGATCCTGACAGACTCGCCTGTCTCCTAAAGGGATCCTGGGTGGACTGAGTCTTCCTATTACCGGCCACCACAACTTGGATGCCCCCAACCTGCCTACTGTCCCAATGTACCCTCCTTCTGAAGGAGCTCCCTTCTCCATGGGGTCACAGAGAGGGCAAGCTTCCTAGGCCAAAAGGACATCTTGTGCCCTGTGGGTAGGAGATGGGGGATTCTAGGCCACACAGGAAACTTGGGGGCTCATTGAAATCTAGCTCATTTGAAATCTAGTTCATGGGTTCTCAATCTACAATTGATAATAGTATGAATCAACCATTCAGCGGGCTATGAAACCTTCATGGTCATTCACAGAAATGAGTGAAATGGAGACTGTATTTCTTCCAAGGTCCTCCAATGTGGCTATTCTGCAGTCAACCAGGGCCCTTAAACACAGAGGCTGTAGGGACGAATAACTCACAGGCAGTCATGAGACCTTTTGGGGAAGGCTCATTCCAGCCTGTCAATTGGCTGAAATGATTTCATGCAGCTGTTCTCTTTCTGAACTAAAGGTCTTTTATTCAACTCTAAATCTGTTTTGGTGACCTAAGAGCATGTGTCCAAGTAGGAACAAAACCTCAGCCAAATGGCAGAGTAGAAACACAGGCAGTGTCTGTGCAGTGTGGTTTCCACCTGTCATCAGTAACAGAAGAGAAGGAACACTTGTAGGATGTGAGCTTCAGCAAAGGCACGAGGGAGAGTGGTGAAGAGAAGTCCTCTTCTCTATGAGGCCTTAACAACTTGATCAGAAGGCCTAGATAGATAGATGATTAATGGAAAGATAGACAGGTACATGGATAGCTAAGTTTAAGACTAGAGTTCCTGAAAGCAAACATTGCCACACAAACGCAATTGCTCCTGAGCTTATAAAGCAATTCAGAATATAACCAAAACATAGTTTTTTCTTCAATACAAAAAAATCAATTAGGGCTAGGAAGGTGGCTCAGTGGTACAGCCCTTGCCTTGCATGCATGAGGCCCTGGGTTCGATTCCTCAGCACCACATAAGCAAAAAGAAAAAAGCCAGAAGTGGCGCTGTGGCTCAAGTGGTAGAGTGTTAGCCTTGAGCTGAAGAGCGGAGGGACAGCGCTCAGGCCCAGAGTTAAGGCCCCACGACCAGACCACCCCCCCCCCCAAAAAAAAAGAAATAAAAAGAAAAAAAATCAATTAGGATCCATTATCGCAGGTGCATTTTTCTGTGTATGTAGTAGTAGGACTTGAATTCAGGGCCTTGTATTGTTGCTTGTTTTTTCACTCAAGGTTGTTGTTCTGCCCCTTGAGCCACACTTTTACTTTTAGCTTTCACCTTGTTAAATAGAGAGCAGAGATTCATGCACTGTTCTGCCTGAGTTAGATTCAAACATCAATCCTCAGATCTCAACCCTCTGAGTAGCTAGAATTACAGGCATGAGCCCCCAGTCCCCAGCCCACAGATACAAAATCCAATAACCACCTGACATTGTTTGGTGAAAATATTTGATTGCACAGAACTCTTCCCTCCCCGCCCCCTCACTGGGTTACTGTTACCTGGAAATACATACATTCTGTGCCTAATTCAATAGATATTGATAGGGCAGTGGGCAAGACATAGTGAAGTTGGATAAAACTTGGATGAAAGTGGAAGGCTAGCACTCTAGCACTTGAGCCATAGTTTCACTTGTCTTTTTTGTTCAATCTGGGAGCTTGAATTACCGGCCTGAGCATAGTCCCTGAGTTTCTTATTGCTATAGGATAGCATTCTATCACTTGTACAACAGCACCATTTCTGTTCTTTTCTTTTTCTGAGCAGTTTATTGGATATGAGTCTCACATACTTTTCTGGCCATGCTAGCTTCTAACTACAATCCTCAGCTCTCACCCTGCTGAGTAGCTATAGTTACAGGCATGAGCCAATGTGGACTGACCCCACTTCTGGTTTTCTGTGGTTACTTGAAGATAAGACTCTCACCAACATTCTTGCCTGGGCTGGCTTTGAATCCCAATCCTCAGATCTCAAAATTATGTGTAGCTAGAATTACTAGTTTGCTCCACCAGTGCCTGGCTCAATAAGTATTTATGAAATAAAAAATTAGGTCTCAGTTGTAAGAAAAAGTTTAGAAACCATGGAGCGAAAATATATTACAAGAAAATATACATAGAAAAAGTATCAATTTCATATGTGTTGTTAAGGCTACTTATTTTGTTAGTTCACAGCCACTAGTATCAGCTAACAATATAGTAAATACCAAGAAATTCAGAAATGTGCTATAAGCAATGTGTTTAAAAGCACCTCTGGTCAAAAAGTAGGAGAAACTCCTATCCACAGTTCATCAGAAAGAGAAAAAAAAACAGATGGGAAAGGAGGTATTCCTCATATTGTAGAGCATCATCTTGGATCAAAAAAGCTAATGGAGCACTAGGTCCTTGTACGGTCTGCACAGGGACACCTCCCTACTCTTGGCTAAGTTTCTTCCCAGTATCTATTACCTAGGTAACTTGGCAGGCCTGGAAGCAGTCACCTTCCCCTCCTGCTAGGTCACATCCTGGGCCACTTCTGGTCACACGCCTCCCATCTGAGGAGGGTCCCAGACCCTGAAGTCATGTCCTGATCCAGTGTGGCCACACCTCTTCCTGTTCCTGGCCTAGATAAGTCCTGGCGCAAGGGTGGGTTGCCCCTTTCCTTTTCAGCCATGTCTCTCCACTCTGCATGGGGGGGGACCGCAGTTCGGTAAATAAACTTCTTCTCCTGACTGAAGAGAGCGGGGTGTTCTCTTCATCGGCTACCTAATGAAACCTACCTACTTAATATACCTTACAGTCCTGAGTTCAAGCCCCAGGGCAGACTAGAATAAATAAATAAGTCCTAGAGGTGAACGTCGTTTTGAGCAAACTCGTTTACATTCCTATCGTCACAGAGCTTTTAGAATAAAACAGCAATTCTGAAGTAATTTTCCTGCCCAGCGTATGCTGTTTGGGAAATTCTTTACTCCCCACACAAGCATTCCTTCACCCTTTTCCGCGCGGCTTCCTCGAAGCTCAGCGGCCGGTCCAAGGGAGTTCGGCAGCGCTGAGCTGCGCCCCGGAATTGCGTCATCAGTGCGCGCGACGGCATCTGGCCTCCTAGGGACCCGAAAGTAAAAGGACATCCCGTCTACGGAAGCTTGCAGGGGCCTCAACTGCTAAGGTCCGCGCCGCTCGCAGGAGCTGCGGTAGACGTTGCGCCCCTTTCGCTTTTGTTTTCAATGATGGCGGCCGAGTGACGTTCTGTGCGTTTTAACGCTCTAGTGTCTGAAACAAATTTATACGTACCCTATACAATACGGATCTAGAAAGGTACAGCTGAGTTTATTTTTTCTTGTTTCCTTGTATCTGGCTTTCTGGATTGCTTTAACGTGTATTTTCTATGTTTATTCAAAACTACATGAAGCCGGGCACCAGTGGCACGCGTCTGTAATCCTACCTACTCAGGCAGCGCACATCTGAGAACAGAGGTTCAAAGCCAGCCCGGGAAGGAAAATCTGTGAGACTCATATCATTAATTACCAAAAAGCCTGAATGACACTGTGGCTAGCGCTGTAGAGTGGTAGCCTTGAGCGCAAAAGCTCAGGGACAGCACCCAGGCCCAGAGTCAAACCGCAGATCAGCATCAAAAGAAGCAGCAGCAGCAGCAGCAGCTAGAAATTAGTGTCGTTAATCCTGTTGTTACGTAAGTCATCCAGCAACCAACTTATGTTCATGTTTTCAAATAATGCACTTGTGATTAATATTCTTGTCAAAGTGTATGTTTTTGTTTTTTTATTTTACATCTTTGTGCTGGTCCTTCGAGTTGAACTCATGGTCTGAGCTTTTTTGCTTAATTCTGGAGCTCTACCAATAGAGCCACAGCTCCACTCCTTGCTTTTTGGTGGTTAATTAGAGGTTAAGAGTCTCAGGGCTTTGCTGCCTATGCTAGCCTTGAACTGCGATCCTCAGAAATTAGCCTCCTGAGTAGCTAATATTACAGTTACGGGCCATCAGTGCCCTTCTCAGGTAATTTTTCTAAAATAAATTTCATATTACTCCTTTGGTTATCATTTCTTTTAAAATTATTTCCACTATGTAATGCTGTTTTTATTTTGAGATATTTACTTTTCTCCTTTAGTTCTTTTTCACTTATTTGTCTTTACTGTATTACTCTGGCAGAAGCAGTTTTTCTAACATTTGAATGTTCATGAACATTCTCTTTCTGTCTTCTTAAAAGACTGAACATAAATGTCTCCAGGAATTATAATTCATAAAATCTATTTGGAGAGTGGTTATTTGCATTTATAAAAAAGGTCTGTTAGCCAGGTGCCAGTGGTTCATGCCTGGAATCCTAGCTGCTCAGGAGGCTGAGATCTGAGGATGGTGGTTCAAAGCCAGCCCCGGCAGGAAACTCTGTGAGACTCTTAACTCCAATACACCTCCAGAAAACTGGAAGCGGCACTGTGGCTCAACCAGTAGAGTACTCGCCTTGAGCTGAAGAGCTCAGGGACAGTGCCCCACCACTGACCAAAAAAAAAAAAAAGATTTTGATCTGAGGATTTTATTGAGAGATGTAACAGTCCCCATAGGATTGAAACTCTAATGCCCTTATTTAGCAACGGCAACCAGGTGAGGAATAAACACAGCCAAACTATCTCAGCTACCAGTGGCTCATGCCTGTAATCCTAGCTACTCAATACTATGAAATCTGAGAGTGGCAGTTCAAAGCCAACCCAGGCAGGAAAGTCTAGGAAAGTTAGTGAGACTCTTCATTTCCAATTAACCACCAAAATCCTGGAAGTGGAGCTGGGATCAAGTGATAGAGTACTTACCTTAAGGTAAAAAGCTCAGGGACAGTGCCTAGGCCCTGACTTTAAGCCCCAGGATCATTAAAAAATAGAGAGCTGACTACCTGTGGCTCATGCCTGTAATCCTAGCTACTCAGGAAGCTGAGATCTGAGGATCATGGTTCAAAGCCAGTCCGGGCAGGAAAGTCAGTGAGACTCTTATCTCCAATAAACCACTAGAAAACTGGAAGTGGTAGGCGCTAGCCTTGAAGAGTGCAGGGACAGCCACCAAGCCCAGAGTTCAAGCCCCAGGACCAACAAAAAAAAAAAGAGGCTGGGAATGTGGCTTAGTGGTAGAGTGCATGCCTAGTATGCATGAAGCCATGGATTTGATTTCTCAGTACCATGTAAACAGAAGGCCGGAAGTGGTGCTGTGGTTCAAGTGGTAGAGTGCTAGCCTTGAGCACAGAGAGACTCAGGGGCAGTGATCAGGCCCTGAGTGCAAGCCCCAGGTTGAAAGAGGGGGTGGAGGGAGTAAGAGAGGAAGAGGGGAGAGAGAAAGATGATCTCAACCACAACCCACTGAATTCACAGTAATCCATGTGTTTTTTATTCTTGGCCCTCTTAGCTTCCATGGCCTCTCATGCTTTGTGGCCTTATCTAAATTTACCTGCAGATGAAGGTTTATTTGACAGTTTTTTATATGTGGTCTTCTACATTGTAGTCAAGAATTAACACAGTGTGGCCTAGCAAATCATTGTAAATGATATAGCCTAGCTTGAGCAAACACTTGGTTCCATCTCCAGTATTCAGAAAAAAATGAAGTATGTCCTGAAATGGTCCTTTTTTTTTTTTTTTTTTTGTCGGTTGTGGGGCTTGAACTCTGGGCCTGGGCGGTGTCCCTCAGCTCATTAGCTCAAGGCGAGCGCTCTACCACTTGAGCTACAGCGCCACTTCCGGTTTTTCTGGTGGTTTATTGGAGATAGGAGTCTCACGGTGTCTCCTGCCCGGGCTGGCTTTGAACCGAGATCCTCAGATCTCAGCCTCCTGAGTAGCTAGGATTACAGACGTGAGCCACCAGCGCCCGGCTTGAAATGGTCCTTTTGTACCAGAACATCTAATGAATGATCTAGAACTTGTCATGATTTGGCTGGTGGGAGGGGTTTTTTGAAATTTCTGGAAGATGTTTAGATCTAAGGATATCCATAATATTCTACTCACCCAAAGCTATTCTCATAGGTTCCTCTAAATGTAGGATCACACCTGATAATGACTCTATTCAATTGAAAATGCACATTCAGCTTTCTGAAGTCTTGAGACCCAGCAATGTTGAAGAAGCTTGACTTTCCACAGGTGAGAAATAGTCTATCTTATTACAAGATAGAAGCAGTCTCCAGGAAGAACTTTATAGATATATAAAATGTGTGGTTTCGTATGTAGCAGTTGGAATTCTGTACCTAAAATCTCAGTTGTCCTTAATTTTCAATTTGTTTTGTCTTTTCACTGAATTATAGATGTCCAATATTATTGCTGTTTTGTGTAAATTCTGTCATTTTTATTCCAAGATAAATTTTATCCTGATGGGTGTATATATATATATATATATATATATATATATATATATATGTTGCATACCATGTATAGTAGATATGTATGTATATAAATACCCACACATAGATTTACCTGGATGTATGTAACAATATATTTTTCCACGCCAAGTAGGTCATTTCTTTTTTGTGTGTATTTTGGCAGTATTGGGGTTTGATCTCAGTGCCTTGCACATGCTAGGCAGATAGATGTTCTACCACTTGACAGATGTTTCCATACAGATAGGCCTTTTTTGTGCTTGATATATCTAGTTTGTAGCTTTCACAACCTCTGCTTCTACACACAACTGATTTTCTGTGCACCTATTTCTTTAGGTTCACATGTCCCAGGAGCCTTTTTTTTCTTTTTTGCCAGTCCTGGGGATTGAACTTAAGGCTTGGGCACTGTCCTTGAGCTTCTTCTTTTTTTAGTTTTTTTTTTTTTGGTTAGTTGTGGGGCCTTAACTCTGGGCCTGGAGCTGTCTCTCAGCTTTTCAGCTCAAGGCTAGCACTCTACCACTTGAGCCATAGCTTCACTTCTGGCTTTTTCTGCTTATGTGGTGCTGAGGAATCAAACCCAGAGCCTCATGCATGCAAGGCAAGCACTCTTCCACTATGCCACATTCCTAGCAAATTCTTCCCCCCCCCCCCCCCACCAGGGGCTGTAAGTTTTTATCATAAGCTATTCATCCTGACAACTACTTGGAAATTACAACCTTTAATATTGTGTACAACATGGGCTGGGAAGGTGGCTCAGTGCTAGAGCGCTTGCCTTGCATGCATGAGGCCCTGGGTTTGATTCCTCAGCACCACATAAGCAAAAAAGAAAAAAGCCGGAAGTGGCGCTGTAAGCAAAAAAGAAAAAAGCCGGAAGTGGCGCTGTGGCTCAAGTGGTAGAGCGCTAGCCTTGAGCTGAAGCGCTGAGGGACAGCGCCCAGGCCCAGAGTTCAGGCCCCACAACCGGAACCAAAAAAAAAAATATTGTGTGCAACATGTACCATCCGTTCTGCTGTCAGGTTTAGTTCAAGCCCTACCACTGACAAAAAAAAGTGTTAAGTATTACTTCTTCAAAAGTGTGTGGTAATTTATACAATCATTTCTGACTGCTAAAGAAAAGTCTCCTGCGCAAAAATCACAGATATGGTAAGAAGGAAGGGATGGATCTGACCTGGCTCTGTCTCCTTAATGCTAAGACAATGGCTTCCCCAAGGTCTGAGTGAGGATGGTGAGATTGGACAAGGTGTGAGGTTAGGAATGTCTAGATATGCACCTTGTGGTGTGGGAGTGGAGATTTCAGCAGCCAATGAGTCCTTTGGAAAAGTCTTGTGTGAGGAAGGGGCACAGGTAAGGGGAACTGGGGAAGTAACCTTACTTCCTCAACAATAAGGCAAGGGGAATGTGGTATCTGATAGCCAGACAACAGCATCCCACAGTCAGCTGCAGCCAGCTCCTTGATTAGCAGTGTGGGAGAGAAAGAGTGTTCTTTTGCTGTATTGGAAGGTCATGAGACTCAGGTCTCAGGAAAGCACTATATGGGTGCCTCATTGGAGCCTAGGTAGGCTGGCTCAGTGTTCACTCCTGAATCTGGTGCCTTGGGCCATTTTCTAACAGAGCAAAAGCACATTAAAGGCAGCTCAGGACAGAAAACCTATCTGATCCCTTTCCTGGATCACCCTACAACCTGCTTGGTATGTGCAATTAAGTAGGAATATTGAGATAATGCTTTCTGTGTAGTTTTCAATTCACTCCGCCACAATGGATCAGTTTGAGGTGCGCTACCATTTCCATGTTTGAACAATGGTTCTCATATCAGGATGAAGATGGGTCAGCTCCAGCCCTGGATGAAACCCCTAGGATAAGGACCTTGGAGCCAGGCATGCTGGAGAAGGTAGTGAAGAACCTGGTACCTGCTCACCAGAAGGGAGATCCCTTCTATGTCCCTGCTTTCCTGTACACTTACAGAAACTTCACAACAACAGGGCAAGTGCTGGACCTGCTGTTTAAAAGGTTAGTTCTACCAGGTGCTGGTGGCTCATACCTGTAATCGTAACTACTCAGGAGACTGAGACTGACAATCATGGCTTGAAGCCAGCCGAGGCAGAAAAGTCTGAGTGTATCTCCAATAAACTACTCAGAAAAGGCTGTAAGTAGCATTGTGGCTCAATTGGTAGAGTGAGAGCTTTGAGCAAATGAGCTGAGGGACAGGGCTCAGGCCCTGAGTTCAAGCCCCAGGACTGATGCAAAATAAATAAAGGTTAGTCCCCAAGTCCAGGGGATTATTGGATCTCCTGTCTGAGTCTAAGGAAGACTTGACAACTCTGAGCCTGCTTGGTTCAGTGGAGATTCTCAGTGAAAAGTGGGATGAGCCTCAGACATGCCTTCTCAGGTTTCTCCCTTATGAGTGTCTCAGGTATAGGATCTTCCCCTTCTCCATGAATAGCCTCTCTGTCTGAAACCTCACTTTTTCAAGGCTCGAGAGCATCTAACACTTGAGCCACACTTCTGGTTTTAATAGTTTGTCTGGAAGGACTGGCTTCAAAGCTTGATTTTCAGATTTCAGCCATCTGAGTAGCTAGGATTACAGGTGTGAGACAGTGGTACTTGGCTTCAGGACTCATTTAGGTAAATCCCTATGCAACCATATTTCCCATTAGTAAACAATCCCATCAGAACCAATCTGGGTTGCCCCTGATGTTCTGTGGCTAGAGAAAGGGCTAGCAGGTTGCACTGAGGCCCCACTGTCTCCTATACCATCAGGAAGGATTATATTGCGCTCACTCATTGTACAAACCTATGAAGCATTTATCTTGGGCAAACTCATTGCGAATGTCTTAGTGTAAAACTGAGGGAGCAGTAAAGACAAATCTTTCTACCCGCCACGTGGGTTTTCGTCAGCTTCATAGGTGTCCCCATAGTTTAAAAAAAAGAAAGAAAGGGAAAAAAGTAGTCCAGATATCAGAGATGACTTCCTCCTTTACTCCCATAGATATGGATTTTTCCACCCAAACTGTGAAGAGGATGAACAAGTAAAGAAGTGAGTGGACTTTGGGACAAAGGGAAGGGCTCTCCTTCAAGATAGAGATATTGAGGTCTTGGGATTGAGGTGTGGCTGACAATGTCTGCTTTGCATACTAGCATGATTTCCTTGAGGGTGGGGCCTGGGACTTCAGAGAAGGTAGAGAAAACAGCTGTGGGTGGGGTCTGGTTTCCTGGGTAACAGAGAAGAGCTGTAGGTAGAAAGCCAGCTCCTGTGGGGAGACAACCATGCCCATCTTTCTCTGAGAATTATATTCTAGCCAGCTCTAATTCTGTTCCCTACCCCATCTCCAACAGCACCATTTGTTCTTTCTTTGCCATGTGGCTGGACAAGTACCCTGAGGATTTCTGCCAGTCCAAGAACCTGGCCAACCTCAATCAGCTGATGGCCTATGTGCTGCTCCACATGCCCTGCTCAGACCTGGCAAGCCATGTACAACATCTTCAAACCCAGCTGATGGAATCAGAGGCCAGTGAAGCAGGGACAAAGTGTGAGGAATTCTTGGGCCAGGAGGGAAACTGTGCCCCTCTGAGATGAGACCTATGACCCGATGATTGGCCAGTCACTGAAGATGTCCTGATTTTTAGACAGCACTGGGAATTCTACAACAAGCAGTAACTATGTGTATGGCATCTATTAGATACAGGCACTCATTCTAAAGACCTTAGCTCCTCATGCAAGTTGAATTCCACTTCACCTTCCAGTACTCATTCTCTTAGTTGTATATCTGTTTCCATTCTTAGATTTGGGGCTGCACACTGCAGCTGCTCCTGAGCTCAAGGCAATGGACCCACCAGTGACATCAGCACCTCTGGTACTAGAATCAACACTGCCTGCTCTAGCTAGAGGCCTGGGGCCTCCACAGCACCCTGGGCCACGTGTGAAGGTAGAGCACTTTGTGTCAGCAGTAGAACAATCAGAACTTCTTGTATGTCCTGTGGACCTCTAGCCTGTTGTGGCCACTGCACTGGACATCCACTAACCTCCAGATATCAAGGCAGAAGAGGTAGCACTTCTTTCATTGCCTGCAGATATCCACATGGATCTGCCCACCATCTCAAATCAACCTACCTCACCTGGTAGAGGAGAAGTTAGCTTAGGCTAGGTCTGCTCAAACTGTTCCCAGTCCATATTAGGCACAGCCTTTACTTCTGGAAGAGTCACTAGCGCCATCTGGGAGCTGAAATCATCCCCAATCCAAGTCAGGAAGAACGTCTTTTTGATGTAGAGGTAGAGCAACTTGTGGACCCATTCATTATGATTACGTCCTGAAGTTCACCTAACAAGCTCTAGGACTACAGCCATCATTCCCCTCCCCCTGAGGAAATACCACCTTTATATTTTCTTTTCAATATAAACTGTTAGTTTTTAATATAATCTCACTGCTTTTCATTTTAAGTTGTGCAATTCTGGAGTACTATATACAGTGTTCATTTCTATCTTCAATCTGAAGTTTCAGGCTCAGGTATGAGTCCTGAGTGGGAGAAAACAGAGTGAACTGGAGCAGTAAGAGGGAAGAAGTTGCATTTACAGGTAACAGGTGAATGCCTACATAGTGGAAATGAATCTAGTTATGTGTGGATGCTGCCATGTGCTGAACTGGAGGACTCCTGATATTAGGGACATAAGCTCTGTTGTGCTACAGACCAAATATCCTAGAAAGGCATTCATTCTTGAGTCTCAAGCTCCTCATCTAGGAATTAAGACAACTCCTCTTTACCATGTTTGCAAAGTAAATGTAATATGATAGATGGATCTCCTTGACAACAGTGAGATCAAGTCTGCATTGCACACATACTTAAAGGGAAACTTAAATAAGAAGAGGTAAAGGTTTAGTAGCATAGTAATATGTCTAAGATGTTCATAACCATGGTGTTTTATGAAGATTGACTGAGTCTCCACAATGGTTGAAAATAGAAATGACCAAGCTGAGACAAGTAGATGTTCAACAACTGTGTTTGTGAGAACGGCTTGCAAGTCAACTTATTATCATTGATAATCACCACCAAATGTTTTCTAGAATCTGTCATCCTGGACAAAAGAGTACTGTCTATTAAGTAATGGAGAGTTGATGTGGGCTGGACTTTTCCTGGGCCATAGGTCAGCTTGACTGCTCTGTAATAAAGTCCCTTCATAGGATTATAACCTTGCTAGCATTAAAAATATTTTACAGGTTATTCAGGATTTTTTTTTGCCAGTACTGGGTCTTGTGTGCTGACCTTCCGCTCCTTTTGCTCAAAGTTAGCATTCTATCACTTGAGCTACAGCTCTATTTCTGCCTGTTTCTGTGATTAATTGGAAATAAGAGTCTCACAGAGTTTCCTACCCAGGCTCTGATACCACAATCCTCAGATCTCAGCCTGCTGAGTAGCTAGGATTACTGGAACCTGGCTTATTCATGATTTTAAACATAATGTTATATCATCTGTTATATTTGTGTGTATGATTTACATTTACATTTTTGAAAGGATAAATTTAATTGGTTTTTGTAACAGATGACATTAGGATAAATTCTCCACCTCTTGGATTGAATAAGAACTGTAGTTTGCCTCCTCATGTTATGACTGGAATATTCGCCATGCTTGTGTGGTATGTGGATGTGTGTAAATACAATTGACTTAGGACTAGGTAACACATATGTAAGCGCCAAACTTTGGGATGCCCCAAAGTGTTGAGATAAGCTTTCCAGGTGTGTATCTTCTTGAGGACTTTTGCATTGATCTGTTAAAAAATTGTTCTCATAGATTCGATTTTTATGATGCCTTAAATTATTATTTCAAATACCTGCTGACACTGTCATAATATTAAGTAAGATATGAGACTTGCCAAGTGTCTAGGGCTTGGCTGTTTTACCTTTAAGAATGAGATCACTTGTCTTACTAAAATCAGCCTGAGGACAGGTAGTTGTCTCTTTTTTTCTTCCAGTCTTCGAGGTGAAAGCACAGGGTTGATTTTGTCCTATATGTCAAGTTGCACAAAGATGGCATCATTTTGGAAACAAGAGTCTTCACTGCTCTGATTGTTGCTTCACTTTGACCTTCGGCTTCCCAGCTTCTAACTTCCAACTTGTGAGAAATAAATTTCTATTATTTATCAATAACCCAGTTTGTGACACATTGATATGAAACATTATCACACTAATATAAATGAGAAGTGTTTTATTTATCTGTCTTACATTTGTAAATGTATATTTTTATTGAAAAATCACTAATGAGAATATATGTGTAGAGAACTGAATCCTAACAACATTTGTGAACTTAGAAGGAAGAATTTCTTGCATGAATCAATGAGATAAATTATATGGCCATTTCTTTTATGTGTTATAGTCTTGTGGTTTGAACTCAGAGTGTGGATACTTTCTATGAACTGTTTTTCTCAAGGCAAGTGCTCAACAACTTGAGCCACAATTCCACTTCTAGCTTTTGGGTTATTAATTGGAAATGAGTCTCATGGACTTTACTACCTGGGCTGACTTTGAACCATGATCCTCATATCTTAGCCTCCTGAATAGCTAGGATTACAGGTGTGAGCTACCAGCAGGAAGCTCTGTGAGATTCTTATCTTTTATTAAGCAGAAAAAGCCTGGAGTGGAGCTGAGGCCCAGTGGTAGGTAGATTGTTAAAAATGTGTATCTAGACTTGAGAAAAAAAAGCATGTTATTGATTAGAATACTTTGTAAACTTGTGTGTGAATGTCATAAAATTCCACCTCTGTAACTAATGTACATTAATAAAAATACTTATCACAATGAAAGTTCCAATCAAAGATGGTTGTGAAAATCACAGTATGTTTGAAGAACTAATACTTCATACATTCTTTATAAAATTTTAAAAGGCAACAGAAAAGTTAACACTGCTTTTGTCTACCCTGATATACAATTAAGTAAAGATATCATATAGAAGGAAACTTAGTCTGTAATGCACTTTGAATAACAGAAGAGAAGTCCATAAAAGTCCCATCAAACCAAATACAGGAATGTCATAATACTATGAACAATAAATTCATCATAGGAATACATGTTTCCTAAAACATAAGCAGTGAACATACTCTCAATATAAAGGGCAAAACCACATGATCATCTCAAAAACACAGGAAAGCATTTCATATATGGACAAGTCAATCTTTGTAGAATAAGCCAGAAAATATTAAGCCCAGAATGGAACTGTATATAAATAAATGGAACATATCTGGCAATAAACATTATCATAAGAAATTCAAAATTCTCATCAAGGTAAGAAGCAACAATCTAGTCTTGTCATTTCTATGCAACAGTGTACTGCAGTAAAGCATATTAAACCAGAAAACACAAAAGGCATGAAAAATGGAATACAAATCATTGTCTCCATTGGCAAGGGTGTATAGAAAATGGTAGAAAATACTAACAAATCCAACAAAACACTATTAGAACTAAAACTGAATTGAGCTAAGTTGCATTATACAAGAGCAGTGCTATCAGTTGTAGTTGTCTCTTCAAAAGGCTCCTATTTTGAAAGCTTATATTCCAACAAGGATTTTTAGAATTGTGGCTTGGGGAAATGATTGGCTCAGGATGGCTCTAACTTCAGCTATGGTCCTTAACCCTTGATCAATGACAGCTTTATAAAATGGTGGATTTCTTGGTAGATGGTAGAAAGTATGTGGTGGTCTAGTGTTGGGGAAAAGTCAACTTCAAAGTTCTTTTCTCCTTTCATTGTTCCCTTTTCTTTTCTCTTACTTCACAATCTCTTTATACATTCATCTCTCCTAATCCCCAATTCCAACATGCCTAGTTTCTTATTGTCTCTTTAGATAGATAGATAGTAGATAGATAGATAAATTCTTATTATCTCCAGATAGATAAATTTATAGTTGTATACATACATAGATACATAGATTATATGGATAAATAATAATGAAATAATACAAACATATATATATATAAAGTGTGTGTGTGTGTGTGTGTGTGTGTGTGGAGAAAGAGAGAGAGAAGATGACTTGGTTGATTTGTTCAAACACACCTTCTATATCACCACGGTCTAGGAATAAGGATCCATCCAGATATCAAATGAAATATCTGAAAGCATAAACCAACATAATTTTCTTTTTTTCTTTTTCTTTTTGGCAGTCATGGGGCTTGAACTCTGGGCCTGGGCGCTGTCCCTCAGCTCTTCAGCTCAAGGCGAGCGCTCTACCACTTGAGCTACAGTGCCACTTCTGGTTTTCTGGTGGTTTATTGGAGATAGGAGTCTCACAGTCTCTCCTGCCCGGGCTGGCTTTGAACTGCGATCCTCAGATCTCAGCCTCCTGAGTAGCTAGGATTACAGGTGTGAGCCACCAGCGCCTGGCAAACTAACATGATTTTCAACCACAGGACCAGCACCAAAAAAAAAAAGAGTAAAATATGGTCAGGTGCTGGTGGCTCGTGCCTGTAATCCTAGCTACTCAGAAGGTAGAGATCTGAGAATGCTAGCCTGAGCAGAAAAGTCCCTGAAAATCTTATCTCAGTTTACCACTTAAAAAACAGGAAATGGAGATAGCCTTGGGGAGTATTGCCATTTTCACGATGTTAATCTTTCCAATCCAGGAGCATGGGAGGTTTTGCCACTTTCTAAGTTCTGTTTTGATTTCCTTTTTCAAGATTTTAAAGTTTTCATCATAGAGGTCCTTCACTTCTTTAGTTAAGTTAATTCCTAGGTATTTTATTTTTTGTGGGGCTATTAAAAATGGAGTTGCATGTCCAAAACGAGCTTTACAACGTTGGTGGGGGGGGGGAAGGGGGGGGAAAGGGGGGGAAGGAGAAGAATTGGGATTAGGGGGGGAGGGGGGAAGCTGGGAAGGGATGTGAAGGGTAAACAAAGGAGGAGGCTGCAATGCTTGGTAAGAAATGTATGCATTATCCTGCCCATGTAACTGTAACTCCTCTGTACAGTATGTTCACAAATAAAATTAAATTAAATTAAAAAAAAAAAAAACTTAAAAAAAAAAAAAACAGGAAATGGAGCAATGGCTCAAGTAGTAGAGTGCCAGCCTTCAGCAAAAAAAAAAAAAAAAATCTCAGGCCATGAGTTAAAACACAAAGATCAGCACAAAAATAATAAAAACAAGTATAAAAATTATACAGTTTTACAAGTATATTATTTTCAACTGCATTAGTACATTTCAAAACACAAACACTGGTTGGGTGCTTGACATTTGTAATGCTGTGTGTGTGTGTTTGCCAGTCCTAGGGCTTGAACTGTGGGCCTAGATGCTGTCCTTGAGATCTTTTTTTTTGGGGGGGGGGGGTCCCATCATGGGCCTGAACTCTGGGCCTGGGTGCTGTCCCTCAGCTCTTCAGCTCAAGGCTAGCGCTCTACCACTTGAGCCACAGCGCCACTTCTGGCATTTTTCTTTTTGCC